ATGATAATGGGCTCATGTGAGTGTAACAACCCCGACCTGTACGATTAGCCTATAATCTACAATTAAGAATGCCTAATAAGTAATTAAGAAGAAATTATGAATAAATTACATGTGTATTGCATTATTTGTGTTTATATCTGTTTGTTGTGGAAAGATTTGTCTGTGTTTTTGTTTCTTAATGCGAATTGAAGGCCTTATCGGCATCCGATCACGAAATTGACTTAATTTATGCGTTATTTGAAATTTTTAGAACATTATGGTAGGTTTAATTGAAATCTGATTCGGAACCAAATAATTAGAATAAAATAATCCATCTTAACTCAAACTTAATTCAACTCCATTAACCAAGCTTATATATGGCTTATTTGACTTAAAAATTTCAAATTACACCTACACTCATCTTCCTTGACATCAAAACCTAGAAAGAGAGAGAGATAGAGTGAGAGAGAAGAGAAGAGAAGATTGAGCTCAATTAGGAGACTTGCTAGAGAACTTGGAAAATTAAGCTTGAATCCTTTGAATTCACACCTTAGGTATCAACTTCTCCCTTAATTTTTGGAAATAAAATGCATAGGAGGTGAATTCATGAGTCATGTAGGAATACTTGCATGAGGTTGAAGAGTACAAGTTAGAATCATGTCAATCATGGAAGAAATGAGCTAATGATATATATGTATGCATAATTCTCATGATTTTGAAGTTGAATTCAAAGAATTTTCCACAGGCATGAAGCTTTACTTGCATCCTTGGAAGAATCTAATTTGGTTTCACTTGTATTCCTTCAATTGTTTATATTTTAGAAGCTTTGAACTTGCATCATTACATGTATGATATGTTTTCACAATTTCAAGTTTAATTTTGAACAATTGGCATGCTTTTGGGCCATGATTTTATGAAATGATCTTTAATTCTCAATGCTTTACAAGTTGAACATGTTTTCTCAAGTTTTGGGGCCTAAAGGATGTGTTTTGAAGCATTGTATTTGAGTTTTGAAGCTTGAACATCAATATGAAAATTTCAGAATTTGCACCCTCCGCTCGAGTGAAGAATGCGAGCTCTCAGTACTTTTGTAGAGTTTGGGGGTTGGCGCTAGGCGGGATCTACACTTGAGCGTCCACCCGTATTTTTGACCTTCCGCTTGAACGACCGAAGTTGCGCTCGAGCGTAAAATGAGATCTCCCAAAAGTTTTACAGACTTTTGTAAACCGTTCGAGCGTAGAAAGTTGCGTTCGAGCGGAGGCCCTTTTTACTCAGTCTTACGCTTGAGCGACCGTCGAGCGGAAAAATCATGCAACTAGTACTTTTACAGACTTTATAGACCACTCGAGTGGCAGAAGTTGTGCTCGAGCGGACTGCCCTGCTTTTGAAATTTGGCTAAGTGTTTCAAAGCACGTTTTGGCATCCTCATTGCATCTTAGGCATTTCTAAGCTCTAATAAGACATAATAATGAGGATAAGAATTAGAAACACACCAAGATAGAAAGAATTGAGTTAAGTGTTTTTCAAGCATGTGTTTCAGTGTGAGTGTTCGTTATCTATTGTATAGGTTACACGCCGTGAGCTATTTGATCTGTCTGTTTTTGGAGTCAATTATCAGTAATAACTTAGTAAAGCTATATTTAACTTTATTTATTTTCAGTATGATGAAATAAGATCTGTTTTCTGAAATGTTATGTTCTGTATAATGAATGATTGTTTAATTTTTGAAATGTATTTGTGGCATCTTTAGCATATTTGTTAGCTATTACTCGGTATCAGAGGTTCCATTATGGAACTTAATATGTCTGTAATCTGTTACCCGTATCGGAGGCTCCATTATGGAGCTCAACATATTTATTCTCTGTTACCCGGATTTGGAGGTTCCTTTATGGAATTGGTTACTTAAAACCACTATCTGTTCTGTATCTGCTATGTATCTGTTATGTTAGCGCTAATGGATGTACCACATATGATTAAGCATGAGACTTTGATTTTTGTATATGATTTGAATAAGAATATGAATATGAATCTGCTTTCTGAATCTGATATGGGACATCATTCAATTTAACCCCTTTACTTTGTTATTATTAACTAGGCTCTCGCCCACTCTATTATTTATGTATGTAGGTGATCAGGCGTGTGACTGGGCTCAATGATGATTGCTTAGAATTCTATTTTGTCAGCCAACCTTTGTGCCTCCCGAGGAGGTTCTGGAAAAGTCTTGTGGTCGTGTTTTGTGAACTAACTTTTAGACTTTGTTTTCTTTTGTGCAATTTGAACAAGTTTTTGTTTATCCGTATGTTGGGCTAAGTCCTCTTTTGGTTTTTATCTGTATGAGTGTGTGACGTAAGATTATTATATAGATATAATGTTACATACGTATATATAAAGTTTTAAATTATGTTCCATATATGTCTGCACAACTCAATGGACTATGTATGTTTTATATAACTGCTTCCACAATCCCTTATTATGTGTTAATCTGTTCAGAGACCTTTGGTAATCCCATGATTACTGGCTGGTTACGGCGCTAAATCTATAGGGGCGGGCTTGGGTCGTGACAGTGAGTATAGATTCAAATTTGGACAACTTGTTACTTTTAGTGGATAGTTTAGGTTACAGCCAAATGGGATGGTCAGTTAGGCTTAGTTGTACAGGCTTTTACGAGCTAGGCTTATCGACAGGGTTAGATTACAAACTCTTGATCAAAGTCCTAAAACATCTTTTTTGGATTAGAATGGGTTGGTTGAGCACAGAAGTAAGTCAGGCCGGTTTATAAAACGGATAGGCAGATTGGGTAATGTTGGGTTTTACCTGCCGACCATTTGATGACCCTTAGGCCCCGTTTGTTTGGGGTTATAGGGAGGGGATTGAGTTTGGTAGTGAGGAAGGGATTGAGAATGAGGTGTTTGTTTTGAGAGATAGAGAGGGGATTATTAATCCCTTGGTATTAGTAAGAAGAAGGAAGAGGGATTGGTAAGGAGAAGGTAGAAATGGTATTAGAAAAATAGTAAGGGGATTAGAAATTATTTTATTTTATTTTTATTTTTTATATATTGGGAATTTTTTTTTAAAATATAATGTTTAATTTTTTATATTTTTTTTATTTATTTTATTATTTTATATAAAAATAATTTAACAATTCCTTACTATCAATCCCCTCACTAACAATCCCCTCACTATGAATCCCCTCCATTCTATCTATGAAAACAAATGGGCCCTTAATGCTATACAAGTATGATATACCTTACAATTTTAATGTGGTAGGTTAGTGGGATAAGTTGGATTTATACTTACATTTAGATAGGAAGGTTCACCCATGTTTTATTATTGAATGGTAATACTATATGTCAATATTGACATTGTATAATTATTGGGAAATTCTACTATACACATCTCTTGAAAGGGATGTATCATATGCACTCTAATTATATTATTTTCTTTTTTAGTTATGATCAATTTTCTTTTTTAGTTATGACTTATGAGATCTTTGAATATGCCCCATGTGGTATTTGATCATGACCATTTTTTTTTTTAATAAAAATTTTAAGTTATAATTCAGAAAGTATAGTTATGTTATTTTTTTTTATTATTATTTAGTTATAAGATGCGTATAGCATATACCCCTTGAAGAATATATACCATAGTCTTTTTCCCATCATTATTACATTGAAATTTTACTCAAATACGAAACAAATTACGAAAACTCTTATAGAAAAGGGAACAACTTCTCTCCAATGCGAAACATACTGGACGGTGTTGTTGGGCTTGAGTGGGCTTGACTTTAGACCCATCTCAATGATCCAAATCATTCAATGTATAGAGTTTGTTGAGTATCATTCTTACAAAAAATTATGTTGATTAGACATTGATAATCACTTGATCAGATTACATTTGCGCTTGTGATTTATTTTTAAAATCATAATTGTTGTTGAAACAAATGCAATTTGATCAAGTGGTTATCGATATCCGATTAACGTGATTTTTTGTAAGAATGATGTATTCAACAAGCTCTACATATTGAACTATTTGAATCATCGAGATGAGTCTAGAATCGAGCCCACCGCTGCCCAATAACACAATCCAGTCTGATTTCAAATTGAAGAGAAGTTGTACTCTATTAAAAATATAGTAATACTAGGAGCACAAAAACCAAATACAGAATGGGGCACAATCTTCGAAACAAATGCAATATGATCAAGTGGCAATCGATATCTAATTAATGTTTTTTTTTTTTTGGTATGAATGATATACTCAATGAGCTTTACAAATTAAACTGTTTGAATTATCGAGATGATCTTGGAATTAGGCCCACCGTTGCCCAACAACACTGTCCAGTTTGATTTCAAATTGAAAAAGTTACTTTATTAAAAATATAATAATGCTAGAAACACATAAATTAAATATAGAATGAGACACAACCCTTTCACAAAGGATGGATCCCACATACACCTTGTATGAGATGTTTAATTTATGTGCAAGCCTTGTTTGGCATAATCTATTTTAGTCCGTCTTTTTATCTTTTTTGGGTCACATCAATCAACATCTCTTCCCTATTTTTCTATGCATTTTTTTATAAAAATAAAAAAAATACATTTATTTAGAACATCCCAAACCATCTTTTCCTTTTAAAAATAATATGGTTGAATCTTCCTTACATAGCCAAATACTGTATTTATTTATTTATTTTTACAACTAATCACAGTATTGAATTATGATTGGTAACCCTTTAAATTCACGTCATTTTATGCTTTAAATTGGAATAGTTAGGATATCAAATGAATTATTAAATATTTTATTAAATTTGTTATATGGATGTAATTCATATTTTATTAAATTTTTTATATGAATGTAAAATCTACGCAAATCAGATGTATATGTAAATCTCACATTCATATAAAAAAATTTGATAAAATATTTAATAATTTATTTGAAAACTGTAGAATTTTCCCAAGTTGGAAAGAGGCATAAAAACAAACAAGGCCATTTCCCTCCTCCCCTAGACCGTCTTTCCCGAGTAACATCTGCCCCAACCGCCCTTTAAAATACTAAACAAACACGTGCAATGCCCCCCAACTCCAGGATTAAAATTCTCTAGTGTCTCTCTCGTAATTTCCCATAAAATAGAGGCAAATAATACAACAAACTCACAGCTCTGTATTTAGCTCACCTTCTTCTCTAAGCCACACCCATATTTCTTTGACTACATAGCTTGATCAAACCGGTTGGGCGGGCGGCATATTCTGATTTGGTGGTTTATCAGAGGAGGGGAGACGGCGTCGTTTGGGGTTGGGATGACGTCGGGGACGAGGCTGCCGACATGGAAGGAGAGAGAGAACAACAAGAGGAGAGAGAGGCGGAGAAGAGCGATCGCTGCCAAGATCTACGCGGGACTGAGGATGTACGGGAATTACAAGCTCCCCAAACACTGCGACAACAACGAGGTCTTGAAAGCTCTCTGTAGAGAAGCTGGTTGGATCGTCGAAGATGATGGCACTACCTACAGAAAGGTAATTCTCTCTCTCCTCTTCTCTCTCTCTCTCTCTCTCTCTCTCCGGTTCTGGTTCTTTTGGCGCACTTTAGTCACCAATCGCCGACGATGATAAAAATGCGCCCTTGGTGATTTTATTTACTAGAAATTGTGTGAGTGCTAAAGTGCACTTTATGCGTTCGGCGTACGCTAGTGCGAGGAAGGATCGCAATTGCTCTCTCTTTTTTCTCCAGATTTTGAGCTTTGTTTTAGCGATCGACGGTTCAGATTGTCACTCCGACTGTGGTTTTTGAAGGAACGCACGAAACACAAAGTTCTAAGTTTCAGTCAAAAGAAAACGTAACAAGATTCTCTGCGAAAACCTGGCGTTTGCTTGCGATTAGACGAAACTACCCCTTCAATCTTCACAATGCTCTAATAGACCTCGTAAATGTGTGTATTCAGTGAGGGCAATTCTGTCATTTGAACCACCATTCATCTTCCTAGATTCAACCCTCAGTTTTCCAAATGTTAAACAGTCTGTCACTTTCTGATCCGTTACTCTTTCCGAGCACTTCGCAAATTTTTTTTTTTCAAAACTACCCTCCTCTAGCTCTTTAATCCTCTCGTAATCTTGGGGACCATTTCATAAATAAAATAAAAAAATGATATATAGGTTTATTTTTTTAATTTAGTTCTTAGACTCACTAATATATATTAATAATTGATAATTAAAAAATAACGACAATGCTACGTAACTCAAATTTTGTGGCTCAAAAGTGGTGCAAATGACCAAAACGATGTCGTTTTGAGTACAGAACAACATAAAAATAGCTACTTTTGAGTCACAAAATTTGAAGTACGAGACATTTTTCAAAAAATAAATTTAATTTTTTAGTTAAATGACAATGCTCTTTCGTAAATTGAAGCTTTTTTACTATTAAAAAAAGGATTTTCTTTTTCCGAGATTCCCGGGAAAATGCTTTTTCCCGGCCGAAGCGTGGAGGGTGGGGCCGTTGTTGTTTGCTATTATTGACTTTTCTTTTTCTTTTCTTTTTTTTTTTAAAAAATTATTATATGATTAAATAAGGAAAAAATAAAAAATAAAAGGATAAAGAAATCTTTGGATTCTTGTCTTTTTATGATGCTCTTTATTACTTTTGTTTACGCAACAAAGCAACAAAGCGTGTGGGGTTTGAATTAAAATGGGGGTTGAACCTGGAGGGTGTAGAACTGGTTAGATAGGAAGATAACGTGTCCTAGAGTGCAGGATAATATATTAGAGTTGACATTTTTAGAAGTGATTTAAGATGTTCTAATATTTTTTAATTTTTTTTATAAAAAATTATGTAGAAAAGTAGAGAAAATGAGTAAAAAAATAGAGAAGAGATGTTAATAGATATTGATTAATGTGACTCAAATAAGGATATGTATGTATGTAAAAAAAAAAAAAAATTTAATGCATGCCAAACACCTACTTAATTTCCCTTTTGAAAATTTGTGCAAACCATGTAAAATTAGTTGTGGGTTCAATTACACACCACATGTTGACACCATTACTTCTTGAATCTTTCTTGGGCTGATTTTTTGTCATGTGATAATAACAACCTCAAATTTTTGAGAGAAATTTATATGGTGATCTTGGGTCAAATTCACTTGTTTGAGGGAATATAAAAGATAGAAAATTATTATAGACTGAACTCAGCGTGTGCACGTGCTCAGAACATCTCCAAGATTATTAAGCATTTCGCCTGTTCAGCTGTTATCGTAAAGTATATATTTTATTTTGTCTATTTATTTTTTCGTTTAAACACTCTTCACTTTTTGGAATGTCATATTAATACTAAAGTTCGAGGAAAATGATCATGAAAGTTAAATATATTTTCCTTAGCTTTTGAACTTTAACTATATTTAACTAGTAAATTTCAGTTGAGGCAAAATTTATAATCATATATCTAGTATTTTTTTTTTTTTTTGATAAAAAAAAGAAAAGAAAAAAGGAGGATAAATAAAAAATAAAAGGATAAAGAAATCTTTGGATTCTTGTCTTTTTATGATGCTCTTTATTACTTTTGTTTACGCAACAAAGCAACAAAGCGTGTGGGGTTTGAATTAAAATGGGGGTTGAACCTGGAGGGTGTAGAACTGGTTAGATAGGAAGATAACATGTCGTAGAGTGCAGGATAATAAATTAGAGTTGACATTTTTAGGGGTGATTTAAGATGTTTTAAAATGTATTTTTTAATTTTTTATAAAAAATAATGTGTAGAAAAATAAAGAAAATGAGTAGAAAAGTACAAAAAAAATATTGATAGATATTAATTAATGTAACCCAAATAAGTATATATATGTGAAAGAAATATACTTTTTTAATACATGTCAAACACCACACCTGCCTAATTTTCCTTTTGAAAATTTGTGCAACCATGTAAAATTAGTTGTGGGTTCAATTAAACCACATGTTGACATCATTACTTCTTGAATCTTTCTTGGGCTGATTTTTTTGTCATGTGATAATAACAACCTCAAATTTTTGAGAGAAATTTATATTGTGATCTTGGGTCAAATTCACTTGTTTGAGGGAATATAAAAGATAGAAAATTATTATAGACTGAACTCAGCGTGTGCACGTGCTCAGAGCATCTCCAAGATTATTAAGCATTTCGCCTGTTCAGCTGTTATCGTAAAGTATATATTTTATTTTGTCTATTTATTTTTTCGTTTAAACACTCATATTAATACTAAAGTTTGAGGAAAATGATCATAAAAGTTAAATATATTTTCCTTAGCTTTTGAACGTTAACTATATTTAACTAGTAAATTTCAGTTGAGGCAAAATTTATAATCATATATCTAGTATTTTTTTTTGATAAAAAAAAAAGAAAAGAAAAAAAGAGAGAGGATGTTTTGTAGTGTCATCACGGTGTCCGTGGACCCAAGCTCTAAGGTAGCTGGTTGCCAGTCTGATTGAACCCAACTCATAAGAAGGGACTCCGATGGTTATATCTAGTATGTTAGAAATGAAAAAATTGAATTATACTAGACATTTTAAATAACAGACATTAAATGACGGGTGTATTAGAGATGTTCATTTGCTTGTGGCCCATAGAAGAAGTGCGACCCATTGACAAAATATTTGGTGTCTCAATTTAACTTATGCCATGTGAATGTGATGCATAGAATTTTGCCTAGCTGCAATTTTTTTTAGTCAAACATAATTTTTTTTTTTTTTAATCATAATTCATAAGTCAAGGTTGTATATCCCAAATATGACATGTTGCTTTCTGTATGACTTATTTCGAAGAATCGCAATGACATTATTAAGATGATGATTTCGACACTTTAAAAATATCTCTCCACAATTATATGAAACAAAAAAAAACCAACTTTCAACAAGTTTTCCTAATTTAACTGCAATTTAACCCTGCTTTTAACACATTTAAACACCATTCAGCCCTATTTTCATTGCAAATTTAAACAAAATTCAAGAAAATTGCTTCACACTTGCTCCCTTTTGGGGGGGACAAAAATAAAATCTCAAATAAAATTTGTTTCAAAACTGGAAAATTATTTTATAAGTGCAACCAATACACTATTTTAAAAATTTTAAGTGGGGCAATTCAAATTTTTGGTGGGGGAAATATTAAAAATAAAAAAGAAAAATAGTTTTAAAATTGTAAGTACAAACTGTATTTTTCAAACTTTAGTGGTGCAATTGCCTCTACTCCACTCTTGCCCAGGACTAGTATTATTGTAGTGCACAAAAAAGTAGCTTGTTAGTTTGATCCTAGTGGCAATCTCAGACCAATAAGATTTGGAAACTTACGAGATCAACCTGATAAGAACCATATTTTGTGCACTAGAAAATTTTAAGTGGATATCCATTAGATGGTTGATCACAATTCTTTTCCTTCTTTGGATGATGTGGAAAGATGTAGTGCGAGTTGGATTAGTGGAGGATGCAGGCAGGCAACAAGCTGAAGCGAAGCCATGAAGGCTCGCATTTTGTTGAATCCCATTGTTCTTGGACAATATAGTTCTCTCTATGAGGGGTTCATGCTCCTTGTGGTTGGATAATATATAGGCACTTACCACCTTTTGTTGTTGTGCTTTTCTTTTTTTTCTTTTCTTCATCTTTTCTTTTGAGCTAGGATCATGATTTGGACATGTTGTGAAAGGGCCCAAAAGATGTTACTTTGCTCATATGTTGCATAAATTTGAAGCACACCAATTGTAAATGTCTCTAGTAAGAGGAGATTTTTTGCTTCTATGTAGAAGAAGCTAATTGTGAAAGTGATTTGATATAAAAAAAAACATAAAAAATCTGTATAATTAACCATGGCTTTTCGTGAATGCCATTTCTGCCTAGTTTGGGTTAATTATCAATCTAGTAGATGAACTCAAGCATAGAACTGGACATGTTAAGGTGCTTTTACCTTGTATTTCATAACCTTAAACCTGGAGATTGTCTTTCTTAAAGCTTAATCTTCCGTACTATTGAACTATTCCTAGCCAAATGATTGAACTACTGTTTTGATACTCTTTTAGTCCATTTATATTTATTGGTTGGTTTCTGAAAGTTTATGAATTACCAGGAATATTACATCCTTTGCAGTTGACTGTGAAGTGTTGGCTTGTAGAATTTGTCTTGATGCATTGGTGTCACGAACTAAAACAGACATAGAACTTAGGAGGCTAAAATTTGAAAGAATAAGGTATACAGTAGGGGGCAGAATTGAAGTATGTTTAGAATATATCATCTGTCTGATGGGTGTCTGTCTGATAATAAACTACATGTGTTTGCGTCCAATTAGTTAATAGCAAAAAGTGAGACATTAGGAGTTTTGAATTTCATAATTTCCATCTGATGCAGATGAATAGCTGCTTACCATCTTTGTTTGTCTGTAGGGTTGCAAACCTGTTGATCGCATGGAAATAATTGGTGGGTCAGCTTCAGCAAGTCCATGTTCATCATATCAACCAAGTCCATGTGCATCCTACAATCCAAGCCCTCCTTCATCTTCATTTCCTAGTCCGGTCTCATCACGTTACGCTGCCAATGCCATTAGTAACGCCGATGCCAATTCCCTTATCCCATGGCTTAAAAACCTCTCTTCAGGTTCATCATCAGGCGCGTCGAAGCTGCCCCATCATCTCTTCATCCATGGAGGTTCTTTAAGTGCTCCAGTGACCCCGCCATTGAGCTCTCCTACTGCCCGAACTCCCCGAATGAAGGATAGTTGGGATAACCCAGCTGGTGGTTCGGCCTGGGCTGGACAGCACAGTGCCTTCCTACCCTCTTCTACACCACCAAGTCCTGGTCGTCAAACCCCAAATGATTCAGGATGGCTTTCTGGTGCTCAAACTCCCCAAGAAGGGCCTTCATCTCCCACATTTAGTCTTGTTTCACCAAACCCATTTGGATTCAAGGAGGCATTTTCAGGTGGAGGGTCTCGAATGTGGACTCCTGGGCAAAGTGGAACGTGCTCTCCAGCAGTTACAGCGGGTTATGATCAAACATCAGATGTTCCAATGTCTGATGGATTTGCAGCTGAGTTTGCATTTGGGAGTAATGCCACAGGGGTAGTGAAGGCATGGGAAGGAGAGAGGATTCATGAGGAATGTGTTGCTGATGATCTTGAGCTTACACTTGGAAACTCTAGAACCAGGTAAGGTATATGCATAATTGATTTGATTGTATTGCAGCATGATCAATTCCTTTAATTAATCCTTTGGCATTGCTTACTTAGTTATCTGTTTTGGCATTGCAGATAGGAAAATTTGACTGGAGAAAGGAGGGAGAAAAATATCCATTTGTATCTATTGATTTGGTTTCTACCTTTCTTTGTGAAATTCAGGAAGTAACTTGTTATCGTGTTTGATCAATCTGAATTCAGCTATTCTGCTTAGCAGATAAGGAGAACAGTTCTTTCTTTCTTTCTTTCTTTCTTTCTTTCCTTTTTACTTTCTTCTTCTTCTTATTTATTTATTTATTTATTTTTGGGAGGGGGGAAGTACAAATTATTAATTAAACTATAAATAGTTTATGTAGTGACTTTTGAACTTTTGTGGGCTATCCTTTTTTTTTTAATAGAATTTTCCGTTACAGCACAGATACTCCAGTTTATTGTTGTGTGATATTTTTTCTTGTAATCGAAAATGATTTTGGATGTCAAGATTAAAACTGTTTGGTTGTAGGGTTCTGATTACCCCTAACATTACTGCCATTGTTTTTGTTTTGGTAGGTTTGTGGGTGTTTTTGTGATCTACCAGTTATCTGTGGAGTTGTTATATTATAGAGTCAATAGTTGTGTTCTATTCTCTTCTAAGCATGCTTCAATATCCTGCTGGAACTGGTGAACTTGTAGAGGATTTGCTGTGTGAGAATTGTAACTGGATCAAATATTATTGCAGCATTTGCAGAGTTGGAAATTGGTATTGTTGAACTGTCATATTCTTTTAGCTGCCCTTTTTTTTTTTGAACAGATTTAGCTGCCTTGATATTGTTAAAGTAATTATTGTGGACTTTGATGAGGATTTTCTACTAGATAGTTCTTTCGAGAGACACGTGTGTGAAAGTAATGAGGTTTTGTTAGGATGAAAGAGAGGTTTCGTTAGGATGAAAGAGGTAGAAATTGTGGAAACAACAATGTTTGGTAGTCCGAATTTTCACGGCTGGAATGTATCAAAACGACGTCGTTTTGATACATTCAAGGCATTCGGGCCATACAAATTCGAGCTACCGAACATTTTTCTTGTGGAAATGGAGCTTTTTATCCGATTGTTTAGCATGAGTGGTGGAATATGCAAGAAAATTAAAATTTTCAGTACAACTCATTAGCAGCAAGGTGGTGGCTTTAAGTTTCTTAAATTTGATCATTCTGGCAATATAATTTGTCTAGATGGGTGAGAGACATACTATGACCATCGATTAGGATTGGTTTAGATTCATTCTGTACATGAGTTTTACAATATACATTTTTAATTTTCACCGCACTTCATTTTTGACCTAAATATGGGATTGTAAGTCTGGGTTTACAGTATTATGATATTAGTTTAAATATTAGATATACAATTAGATAGTTATATAAGTATTAAGTATAATGAAGAAGTAAAATTAGATAATTTAAATGATAACATTTTGCTACAAATAATAATAGAAAAAATAATATAGTAATTAAATTATAAAACAACTTGGTAAAAAATTTACAAATTTAAAAATAAAGAGTTAGAAATTATAAACAAAATTTGACATATAATATTAGATAAAAGTAAACAGACGTAGCCATTTTTGAAAATAAGTAGAAAAATACTATAGATACTTACCTTTGCCATTATAAAAGAAATTCACCATAAGAGATAATGCCTACTTTTTAAAGATAGAATAACAATTTTAAATTTTTTTGAAATAATTTTAACTAAATAGAATCTTTTACTAATTTATAATATGAGGTTATATTTTATTTTTGTAACATTTTCAAGGACTAAATAGGTTTAATTTAAATATTTTAAAAACTTAATACATACAATTGATAATTTAGGTACTAAATAAACTTTAATCTATATACTTTAGGGTTATGACACTGAAATTAATTACAACCCATAGTGGTGCTTTATTTGGCACCAAAAACGTAAGGAAATATTTAGGGTACTTTTTTCATAACAATGTCTCGTTTGTCAACTATATATTTTAGTCAAAAAATTACCATAAGTTGTCACATCACTCCCTATTTTTCTGTATATTTTTTCAAAAAAAGTTAAAAAATTATTAAAATAATCTGTTCCCAAACGAGACCTAAGGATCACAACGAATCATAGGCATTCAATATCATTATCCAACATGTATGCTATTTCAACAAGAATAATAAATAAATAAAAATAAAACAGGTCATGCTTCCTGCGTTCACATTCATGTGTTTCTACTGATTATATAACCACAACATTGACATGACTTCATGGCTTGTGTGCACTTTACGTTCACATAATGTGAAGGAAATTGAAAGAGGCTAGATGAAATTTGGTGGTTGCAAACCAATACCGTACCTTCAAGTAACAAATGGCGATGCAATGTTATTTTAGTTCCATCTTCTAAAGTCTGATGTTTTTGTCAACTACCATATTAAGATTATGAGATATTGGAGAATACTAAAAAAATATGGATGTGTTCTTGAGGTATCGGACACTACTATTTGATCGTATATTATCTAACCTTACAAAATTAATAAATATGATTCCTTGCTTTAAACTTCCAAATTCAAATCATAATATCTTTATAAGTTGTATTATGAGAAGAATGATGAATCGCTGAAAGAAAATTCTACCATTATTTCAAATAATATAAATAAAAGATTGCTTCTATTGTTTACAATAGAGCTTCATTATTAAGAAAAGACGGCTCGATGACCTTCTAGTTTTAGAACTGTATGGGAGTTTTGCTCTGTTTGCATTCAAGAACAACTTCATGAACAATCTATTCGTCATCATCTTGACATAGAATAGAATATCATTATTAACAATAAAATGATTTGCTGTTCCTCTAACTTCACAAATTTGTTCAATACGAAGTAGAAATTCATAAAAAGTATCTAATTTTGTTCAGTTTGAGTTCATAAAAGTGATCGATTTATCATCGTCGCATGAATTATTAAAAATTGACAGCAAATCTGTGAGATTGACAAAAAAAAAAACATATTTAATCATTGTACTTGTATAAAAAATGTCTAAATTACTTTTTCCTATCAAAATTTAATGACTAAAATGTATTTTATTCGTTAATTTTACCTAACAAAAATAGATAAATTGTTTGACTAAAATGTATTTTATTCGTTAATTTTACCTAACAAAAATAGATAAATTGTTTGAATTGATACAAATCAATTAGTTTATTTAACGAAAATAGACAAACAATTTAAATAAAAAATAAATCAAAATATTAGAATTTAAATTGATAATACTGCTCAAAATTTAACGAAACAACATTATCAACATTATTTTTTTGGTTATTGATCATATGGTTATTAATATCCGATTAATATAATTTTTGATAACATTAAATATTCAACAAACCCTATAAAATGAATAGTTCGGATCATAAAAATAAACCCATAGTACACCTCAAATTGAGGGACAGCAATAACCCCATCTCCATAATCTTGCTGAGAAAATAGAATGTTTAATCAATGCCAAACTGCAACCAAATCAGGTTAAATTTAGCTGACTCATGTGAGAAATTTATTTTTATTTCCTTTTTTCCTTGGGAGAACATTCAAACTATTCTGTACACTTGACCTACAACCAGATCATTAGCTTTTGACCTGCTTTACTGTAATTAAACATCATATTTACAATTTGGTCATAAGCTTCACCCAGTACAATTTTATACAATTTTCTAATAACCTACTGTACAATTATTTAGCACCAACTATGTACACAGAAAAGAATCGTGGAAAACGACCCAGCAAATCCAGAAATGCAATTACAACCCAAATATTCCAATCCCAATTCCCTAAAATAGGTTGTGACAATTCAATTCTACACAACTGGTCATCTCTCAAGCTTTTGATATAAATCTCCCAGAGCGCGATAGAGAATGGCAGCTGCAGGTGGCCGAGGTAATGAGCCAAGAAGAATATCTGATGCATTTATTGATTGACTGCCATAGAATCGGAAATTCTCTCGGGTGCGAGTAGTAACAACGCTCCCTTCTAGTGAACATCCAACAAATGCACCTGCATTATGAACATTAGTCATATTAAAAGGTACCAAAGAGATGAAAACAGAAAATTATGAACTTGTGAGGACAGGTTACGGATCTGAAATTACTAGAAATGATTATGCGGGTATCAGGACTATTCACATAAAACTTTTAGAAACACATATCTTGACTATTTTGATTAAAATATAAAATTTAATTAAGAATTGATTTAAAATATAATTAAACAAACATATAAATAAATAATAATCAAGAATTGATCTAAAATGTAATTAAATTAAAATTAGATTAAAAAGTTAAAAATTATAATAAATAATTAAATAGTTAGGATATATTGTGATATAAAATATAATTAAATTAAAATTAGAATAAAAAGTTAAGAATTATAATAAATAATTAAGAATTTATAATTAATTGTGATTTAATTGAATTAATGTTAAACATTATAAATTATGTGAATGAAAGAAGAGAGAAACAACTCCGCCGGTCCCAAGCCCGGGTTAAGGAGGAGGGTTGTGTGTTAGGTAGCCGACAGCCAACACGTAAAAAAGCCGCTCGGATCTCTTATGACAATGAATCCTATTTTGAATCGTTTAAATGCTAGGTCGTTACCCTCAAGTGACGCGTTGCGCCTGCTTCCAGGTGTTTCGAAAAGTGAGCAAGGAGCGCCGCATCGACGCCTGGGTGCGGTGAAAAATGGGCAAAGGTTCCCATGTCTTTCTGGACGAGCGCGGATAAAGAAGTTAGTCCAAGACTATAGGTTTAGGGTAGCCACTTGGAATATAGGAACTTTAACTGGTAAGACGATGGAGTTGGTAGATGTTATGAATAGGAGGAGAGTTAGTATAGCTTGCGTACAAGAAACTAAGTGGACGGGTGAGAAAGCTACGGAAATTGAGGATACCGGTTTTAGACTGTATTATAGTGATAAGGATAGACGCAGGAATGTTGTAGAAATCTTAATTGCCAAGGGTCTTGTGGAGAATGTGTGGCGGTCATTAGGAAAGGGGATAGGATTATGTTAGTTAAACTAGTTATTGGAGGGAATATAGTGAACGTTATTAATGCATACGCCCTTCAAGTAGGATTAGATGATTAGACTAAGAGGGATTTTTAGAAGCAAATGGATAAGATTTTACAGGAGATATCCATAGGAGAGAACCTGATTATAGATGGAGATTTTAATGGCCATGTAGGCATAGATAAACTAAGCTATGAAAGGGTGCATGGTGGATACAGTTTTGGTGACAGAAATGAGGCTGGAGAGAGTATCTTAGATTTTGCGTTGGCTTCTGACCTGGTGGTGGCCAATACTATGTATAAGAAGAGTGAGGAGCATTTGATAACCTTTAAGAGTGGGTCAATTAAGAGCCAAATAAATTACTTCTTAGTAAGAAAAGTGAACTGCCTAAAATGCAATGATTGTAAGGTGATTCCTAGAGAAAACCTAATCTCTCAACATAGGATTTTGGTACTAGATTTATATTTTAGAGGGCAATACCAAGCTAGGAAGGATGGTGGGTATTGTAGGACGAGATGGTGAGACCTAAAAGGGGATAAATTAAAAATATTTAAAAATAGAATAGATAAGAAAGGTACTTGGAACTTGGAAGATGATGCTAACACTATGTGGAACTTGATGGCCAATTGTATGAGGAAAATCTCAAGGGAAGTGCTTGGAGAGTCGAAAGGAACGAGACCCAGCTCTAGGGAAACTTGGTGGTGGAGAGAAGAGGTTCAAGTTGTAGTTAAGGCAAAAAAAGAGTGCTTTAAAAAGTGACAAAATGATAGAACTGAGAAAAATTTTAAGAGCAATAGATTGGCTAATAAGGAGGTCAAGAAAGTAGTGAGAGAGGCTAAATTGAAAGCTTATGATGACCTACACAGTAGACTAGATAGTAAGGATGGAGAGAAGAGGGTATACAAACTTGCTAAGATACGGGAGAGGAAAACAAGAAATTTTAATCAAATTAAGTGCATAAAGAGTGAGGATTCTAAGGTATTGGTGAGGGATGAAGAGATTAAGGAAAGTTGAAAGAACTATTTTGAGAAACTATTAAATGAGGAACATGGAGGTACGACAATAGAGAAAGAAATAGCCAGTAATACGATAAACCAAGACTATAGGTTCCATCGCAGGATTAGTAACTTTGAAGTGGAGATTGAATTTAAGAAGATGAAATCAAATAAGACATTAGGACCAGATGATATCCCTATTGAAGCTTGAAAGTGTTTGGGTAAAAAATGGGCTGCTTGGTTGACTAGATTGTTTAGCAAAATTTTGTTGACTAGGAACATGCTAGATGAGTGGAGGAAGAGTATTTTAGTGCCAATCTATAAGAATAAATGAGATGTCCAGAATTGCAATAACTATAGAGGAATCAAGCTAATGTGTCATATAATGAAAGTGTGGGAGAGGGTGATAGAACGCCGATTGCGAGATATAACAGAGGTGTCAGAGAATTAATTTGGGTTTATGCCTGGCAGGTCAATAATGGAAGCGATAAATATTTTGAGGCGAGTTATAGAAAAGTATAGAGAAAAGAAAAGAGACATTCATATGGTGTTTATCGACCTTGAGAAAGCATATGATAGAGTGCCCAGGATATAATATGGTGGGTGTTAGCGAAGAAAGGGGTGACAAAACGTTACATTGATGAGATTAGGGACATGTATGAGAGGGTGATGAACATTATGAGATCGCCTGCTGGAGAAACAAATAAATTTCCTATCACTATAGGGTTACACCAAGGATCTACCTTAAGTCCTTATCCTTTTGCTTTAGTTATGGATGAGTTGACGAGAAATATCCAGGATGACGTGCCATGGTGTATGCTTTTTGCAGACGATATAGTGCTAGTGGATGAGACTAGAGAAGGAGTTAATACAAAGTTGGAGATTTAGAGAAAAACTCTTGAATCTTAAGGATTTCGGATAAACAGAACTCAGACAGAGTACATGGAGTGTAAATTTAGTAACAATAATAATGAAAGCAGAGGAGAAGTAAAGATTGAGAACCAAGAACTGTATAGACGAATACCCACTAGACTTAAAGGTAAGTTCTATAGAACGGCTATTAGACCAGCGATGTTGTATGGGATAGAGTGTTAGGCAACCAAGAAACAACATATTGATAAAATGAGTGTGGCTGAGATGAGAATGCTAAGGTGGATGTGTAGCAAGACTAGAAAAGATAGAATTAGGAATGAGTGTATTCGGAAATGGGCAGGAGTAGCACCGATAGAAGATAAGTTGAGAGAGAATCGATTGAGATGGTTTGGTCATATTCAACGAATACCAACAGAGGAGTAGTGAAGAGATGAGATGTTGTAATAGTAGATGGAAGTGTTAGGGGACGGGGTAAGCCTAAATTAATGTTGGTTAGCGTTGTAAATAGAGATATGGATCTACTTAACTTGGCTAAAGAAATGGCCTTTGAGAGGACCGCATGGAGAAAAAAGATTTATATAACCGATCCCATTTGATGGGACTTAAGGCTTGGTTTTGTTTGGTTTAAAGAAGAGAGAAACAAAATTTAAAAATATATAGGGTTTGAGGGTATTATGGTCATTACACATCTATAATTAATGGTGTATGGTTATTTTACATCTATAGTTAACAATGTTACCCGTTGCACTTTGGTCCAAAACCATATGAGGGCTCCTGGTTATATTTGAACAATAGGAGAGTAAAGTGCTCTACCCTCAAATCACAATGGGGTAAAATGAATTTTGCCCATTACTTTATTAATATTTTGGATGGGGCAACGAGTGAACGGTGTTTTCAAGATCAAACCCATACAAACTGTGAAGTAATGCACAAGGATAACCCAGTCATCGGAAAAATGGCTATTAGCACCAAGGGAAAAAAAAAAAAAAGGGTTCACCATAGAAGATTCAGGTAGCTTTCATAAGATTCCAGTATCTTTCTAAAGAAACATATCAAAACTGAATCAAGAAGAAAAGATGTTTGTGTTACTTGTTATTGGATAACTTGATATACTTTGTTAGACTCATTTCCTAATAGCTTAAGCTTTTAGGACTAATGGTGATCTCACAAGGTATCATAGCTCAGGTTGGAAGAGCTCTTCAGTTCACGAGTCTCTCCATTTGCATTTCCCATTTGTGTTCTGGTTCTCTCTATGTAAGTCAATTTGCATCTCAACATGTAAGATGGGGATTGCATACGGAGGGTGTTCGGATAGCTTAATATACATTGTTAGGCCTATTTTCTAATAGCAAAAGCTTATGCTTTTTGCAGACGATATAGTGCTAGTGGATGAGACTAGAGAAGAAGTTAATACAAAGTTGGAGATTTGGAGAAAAACTCTTGAATCTAAAGGATTTCGAATAAGCAGAACTCAGACAGAGTACATGGAGTGTAAATTTAGTAACAGTAATAATGAAAGCAGAGGAGAAGTGAAGATTGAGAAGCAAGAACTATCTAAGAGTGAAAATTTTCGTTATTTAGGGTCGATTATCACAATAGCAGGGGAGATTGATGTGCATGTGGCCCCTAGGATTAAGGCGGGATGGTGTAAGTGAAGAAGTGCATCTGGGGTACTGTGTGATAGACGAACACCCACTAGACTTAAAGGTAAGTTCTATAGAACGGCTATTAGACCAGCGATGTTGTATGGGATAGAGTGTTAGGCAACCAAGAAACAACATATAGATAAAATGAGTGTGGCTGAGATGAGAATTCTAAGGTGGATGTGTAGCAAGACTAGAAAAGATAGAATTAGGAATGAGTGTATTCGGAAATGGGTAGGAGTAGCACCGATAGAAGATAAGTTGAGAGAGAATCGATTGAGATGGTTTGGTCATATTCAACGAAAACCAACAGAGGAGTAGTGAAGAGATGCGATGTTGTAATAGTAGATGGAAGTGTTAGGGGACGGGGTAAGCCTAAATTAATATTGGTTAGCGTCGTAAATAGAGATATGGATCTACTTAACTTGGCTAAAGAAATGGTCTTTGATAGGGCCGCATGGAGAAAAAAGATTCATATAACCGATCCCATTTGATGGGACTTAAAGCTTGGTTTGGTTTGGTTTGGTTTAAAGAAGAGAGAAACAAAATTTAAAAATATATAAGGTTTGAGGGTATTATGGTCATTACACATCTATAATTAATGGTGTATGGTTATTTTACATCTATAGTTAACAATGTTACCCGTTGCACTTTGGTCCAAAACCATATGAGGGCTCCTGGTTATATTTGAACAATAGGAGAGTAAAGTGCTCTACCCTCAAATCACAATGGGGTAAAATGAATTTTGCCCATTACTTTATTAATATTTTGGATGGGGCAACGAGTGAACGGTGTTTTCAAGATCAAACCCATACAAACTGTGAAGTAATGCACAAGGATAACCCAGTCATCGGAAAAATGGCTATTAGCACCAAGGGAAAAAAAAAAAAAAGGTTTCACCATAGAAGATTCAGGTAGCTTTCATAAGATTCCAGTATCTTTCTAAAGAAACATATCAAAACTGAATCAAGAAGAAAAGATGTTTGTGTTACTTGTTATTGGATAACTTGATATACTTTGTTAGACTCATTTCCTAATAGCTTAAGCTTTTAGGACTAATGGTGATCTCACAAGGTATCATAGCTCAGGTTGGAAGAGCTCTTCAGTTCACGAGTCTCTCCATTTGCATTTCCCATTTGTGTTCTGGTTCTCTATGTAAGTCAATTTGCATCTCAACATGTAAGATGGGGATTGCATACGGAGGGTGTTCGGATAGCTTAATATACATTGTTAGGCCTATTTTCTAATAGCAAAAGCTTTTGGTATAATTGGTGATCTAACATTTGTCACATGCAATCATGGCCTTATGGCCTCAGTAAGTCCCTAAAATGTTTAATAAGAAAAGCTACCTTTACTGCAACTATATGTATAACAAGCAGCATAGCCACCATCACCAGCTCGCACATCAGCTTCAACTGCCCGTCCAACAATGCCAACTGCAGCACTCAAACCAGCTCCCATTGAGAGATGCACATCACCACTAAACGTCTTGATGGCATCACTTGTCCTCAGTACAATAATTAAGTCTATCAACTCTCCACCAGCCTGCAAAGAAACACAATCCCAAAAATAAATTACTAAAATGATGATTGCTGAACACTGATCAGATACTTCCCCACAAGTAAAAGGGTAAGAACTGAAAGGATCAGAGAAATAAAATTGGCAATGACAAAAGAAAGGGTAAAAAAATCCTGCTTTTTACAGTCGAAGTGAAAACATCAAAGAAACAAATCTTAATCATTTACATTTGGAATCCCGGGGGATGAAATGATGGTCATCCCACAAAATTATTTGTTGTGTGCGTCTTGAATCTGCAATCCCAAATGACCATCATTTCATCGCCCTTAATTCTACCCTTGGTGCTTGCCAGTGAGCTTGCAGATATAGTTGAAAAATAACAAAAACATAAAGATCTGCCATCAATTGCACTTGGAGAGTGTGGATGATTTGTCTTAGACCCTCCAAATTAACTCGTAAAAGAAAATTTAAAGTGGAAATGGGACTTCCTAAAAATAAACTACTTCACCTGAGCTCCCCAACCCACGCCAAACGAAGAAATGGAAGAGGGCGGAGACCATGAGCCATCTTCCCTACGAGCAATAACCAATCCTGTTCCAATGTTGTAGGTAACCATCATGCCAACTTTCACAATAGTAAGTATTGCAAGGCCTTTTGCTTGTCGTAGAATAGCATCTGGAATTGCTTTCTCGAGTCTCAGAGAACCAACCTGAGCATACATATTCCATTAAGTAAAGCATCAGATCATGGAATCATAACAAACTCAACAAGAGAATAATTGAAATGAAATAGTTATCTTCAAGGTTAACAAACATTGTTGCCATAATTATGCAATTCCTCAGTAAAATCCCAACTGCAAAGGATAAATAATAACTGGATGAGCATAAAAGCATGACAGACAATAGCATAGAAGTAACCAAAATCTTACCTTATCATTATAACCCCGAATTGTGTTTGTGGCCTTGTAGATCTCATATTCCATGGACTGAGCCCATGGAAAATTTGCCCATGATCTTAAAGTGCTGAGGTCTGTAACATCATTGGTTGGTAACTGAGCAGCACGACTTACTTGATCCATTAAGTGTGGCTGGACAGATTCAAGACGCACACAACAAACATCACACACTCGTTGGGGATTGTTCTCATGAAACTTAGCTGGCAACAAGCTCCTTCCTCTAGTACACTCGCCACAAAATATTCCTCCACAAAACCGACAGTGATGCCGGCCGCACATGATAGGGTGAAAACGGATATTACATAGCATACAAGCAGAAGCAGCACTATCAGGCAGCCATTTTGGTGGCTCCGCTTCAAGAATCTTCACTGTGTATCCAAAATTGGCCTCGGTGAGAGTCTCAGCCATCTCTTTCCAAGCTTGCTCAATTAGGTGGCTTGATATCCGTGAAATTTTACGAATATCGCCTGAAGCAAGAGCACTAACTTTTCCCTGGGCCACAAGTAACATTTCAACTACCACATCCCACATGGTCAACTCTTTATCTTCCTCAATGTACTGACTCCAACCCATGTCTCCTTTGGGGAAGTATCCCCCATTTGGATACAGACCTCTGGCCCACTCTTCATGCTCACTTTCTGACAGAGGTGGAACAGAAACAGGTATCCAAACCCCAGTTCCTTCAGAAAGCGGTGAGTCATAATAGAAGTATTTTCCTAATTTTCTGTGGTTGGTATTTGATTCTCCCTTCTCACCATTTTCCTCCTTTAAGTGTTGAGGTAATTTGGTATCACATGCTTCATGCGTTGCCTTTTTTTGGGCTATGAAACCACTATTCTCATCATTCTCTTCCTTAAAATGTTGAGATAATATGGGATCACATGCTTCATGTTTTGCCATTTTTTGGTCCATGAACGCACTCTTCTCATCATTCTCTTCCATTAATTGTTGAGGTAATTTAATATCACATTCTTCAAGTTTGTCCATTACTTGGATCATAAAATCACTCTTCTGATCATCACCCTCACTTTTGTGTTGAGGTACTTCAATATATTTTTTAGGTTTATCCAATTGTTGGCTCAGTAAACCTCTCTGCCCTTCATTCTCCTTCCTTGCTTGTTGAGGTAATTCAGCATCTTTAGCCATTTCTTGCCCCATAAGGCCCATTATCTCATCCATCTCCTCTGTCCAACAAGAAGGTAACTCAGTATTACGTTCTTCAAATTTATCCATTTGTTGGTTCATGAAACAAACTGGGTCTTGTAAATCATTGTGCTCTTTATGCTGATGAAATCCCTCGCAATCCTGTCATCATCATGAAAGGACATTCAGAATAAGAAAAAATTCCACTAAACAAAGACTTGATTAGAACATAGCAGTAAGGACCAAATACTCAAGAAACAGAGAGAGAGAAACCAGAAGAATACAAGTCTCTAGCATCAAATGCTGCCTATTAGCCTTCTAAAATGCTTTCTGATGAACTGTTTTTTCCCTATTCCTAATGCGTCCAAAATTCAGATGCAAGTATGCCAAATTGCTTTGAACATTACTACCCAAATATATATACATAAATGTGTGTCCTTCCATGGTCACAGAAAATGATGGTGATAGAAGCTATGACAGTGAATGAACACATGACAGAATCGTCATGAAGAATATAAAGAAGAGGTGAATGTAACCTAAGATGTTGAGGAAATGGTAAGAACAAAGTGAGGTGTTGCATATGATACATGTATGGTAGCAGCAGCAGTGTTGAATTAGATAATGGCATGTACAACTCATAACAATGACAATTATAGCAGAGCAGCAGAGAATGTAGCAACTATTTTCTAACAGTGTTTTAAGTTAATGCAAAAGGTTTTGGACCTTGTCTCCACTCTAAACAGGGGCGGGGGAAGGGGGGGCCCTGGCCCCTGTTACACTTCCCAAATTGCTTATAGGATGTGTACAGAACTTATGATGTCTAACAAACTTATTTTCCTCATATAATATATTTAAGTACACAGCCATCTCAAGGGAATTTATTTATTAAAATAATTAATTATTTCTCTTTCTCTCTTTTCTTTATTCAGTCAGTAGACAACACTTCCCTTTTTTCAGTTGGCGGACAACTCTTTCATTCTTTTCACTCAAATTTGTCTCTCATATTTTGTTTTTGGTCTATGGTATTTCCCTCTTTTATTTATGGGAAGGCTATATGGTACACCCTTTACCACAAGAGATGTTATGAGTTTTTGTGGCGTAAGTTATGAACTATTGTAATTACGTTACAAAGAATGCACCGTAAAAAAGGCCTTAATTACAAATGATATGATTATGTTGTGAATATTAAAACGTTATGAACTATTGTAGCAAAACAAGTTATGAACGACTGATTTTATTACGAATCATTGTGGTATAAATTCCGAAGAGCATATGATATACATCTTTTAGGGGTGTGTACCATAATTTTTTCTTTCACTCAACTATTTATACATTCAACAAATAAATACGAGACAACTTCAAAAATCTATATACACTGCGATCAGTAATTCATTACCATTTACGTAATTAGATGAATTTTTTAATTTGTACTTTTCTAGTGGTGAATTATTGAAGTTTAAGTTCTTGAAACACATGTAAACGGAACACACTAAGTGTTCTCAATAAATATTTCAGTTGTTTAAACCTATATTCACCCAATCTTTGGACTTATCCAATGCCTTAGCTTTTGGCTCCCCCAATAGTAGATTTCTGGCTCCGCCCCTGACTATAAGGCTGTGTTTGGATCATGATTTGGGTAAGGATTTAGAAAAGGGAAAAAAAGTAATATGGAAATCTAATATCAAAACATTGTTTTTCATCTTTTTTTTTTTTTTTCTTTATTTCATTATTGAATATGTTTACTGATTCCTCTTCAATTTTGCGACTTTTCATTCAACTATGATTAATCAAATCCGAGTTTTCTCAATTTAATCAAATTCATTAAACTAAAACACATAGAAGCATAGATATTCGCGTGGTTTTCCATTTTGAGTGTCCAATTAAACAAAACCAAGTAAGTATTTTAAATTGAATCCAAAACAAAGCAAACTGTTATCAGGAATTGAAAAGCAATTACCGTGTGATTGGTGGCTTCTGTGCAGATTGAGATTGTGGAAACCCTAGACGCCAGAGGTTGAAATTCGCCTTGGGCTTCAGTTTGTGTACAGCGTTCCTTGTCCTCCATCGATCGAATTTGAAGCACAGGGTGCGAAACAATCAGTTGATGCGGCGAAGATAGAGAGAGATTGATGGCAGATATATATTTGGCTAAATTACAAAATTACAAATATATGTCTCAAGTTTGCTTAAAAGTATAAATTTCCTTATGAAAATTAATAATAATGTCTCAAGTTTGCTTAAAAGTATAAATTTCCTTATGAAAATTAATAATAATTTATATTAGAATTTTTTATTTAATATAATTAATTAAAAAAATAAAATTTATAATTCTTTTATTATATAATAATAAAATTATTTAAATTATTAATTATATTAATTAACTTTATAATTTATTATGAAATTAAAAAAATTCAAAAGATGTAATGCCTCCCTTTGAGGAGTGGGTTGGATTTTTAACTTTTTGACTTTTTTAGTTATTTTGTTTGAGTTAAAAAGCTTGGTTTGGGAAGGACTTTTTAGCTTTTTGACTTTTTGAATTTTTTTGACTTTTTGACTTTTTTTTTGTGAGAAAAGTGTAATGATTACGAGTTGAATGTAATGTTTTATTTTTTTTAGCTAAAATAACATATTTTATCTTTTGTGACTAAAATAGCCACTTTAACCCTTTCCAAACAATGCCAATATAATTTTTAGATTATAAAAAGTAATTTATATTTTAATTCAATCTCAATATATGTATTTATAATTTATCACATATATTTTAGGTTACGTTTGTTTCGTGGTGTAGGAGGCCGGATTGGACTAGCAATGTTGTAGGTACCATCCATAGCACGTTTGGTGATGGTTTGGGCAAGCGACTTCATATTCCAACTGGCTTGCTAATCTCCTTCATGGTGACATTTTACGTCGTCTTTACGTCACGGTCATTCCATCATCTCAGCGCACCACCCAAATGAGTCTTTTACACCCAACGTTGAAATTCTAATTGTTATTGGGGTCATGCTACATTCCTCTAAAAACATCCCCTAATCCCCCTAATTTCCATACCAAGTTAAAAAAAAAAAAAAAAAAGAAAAGTTGTCAAAATTGAAAATTAGGGGGATTAGGGGGGAAGTTTTTAGGGCTCCAAATCATTTCCCTTGTTATTGCCACTGCAAACAAATTTTATGGAGTGATTTGTGTTTCTCGTTATCACCTACGTTTGTTTGCGAACTTGATTATTTTAGGTGGTTTTTTGTTTTATTATCTTAGTTTGATCAAAAAAATATTATTTAGAATTAGAATTGATTTTTTTTTAATTAATTTGATAATTGTCAAAGAAAAAAAATAAAAAATAAATATAATTTAAATGTGATATTTTATCTTATTAATTGTTTTATCTTATTTTGTCTTTATTAATTATTTTAATCAAAAACTATCTTCTCAAATACGCCTATTATTGGTTATTATTGATATGATATTAATTTAATTATAATTCAAGATTTTTTTGTTATATCTTTTATGGTATTTAATTATAGGGAATTTTTTTTATGGTCCCTAATAAGAGTAATTTACAGCATAAAGGACACCAAAAATATGAATGATGTCTCAGGTCCCTCACTAACGACAGGCGCGTTTTTAATTTTTTTTTGGATCAAAATACCCTTCACAGATCAACATAGAATGCTCAACTCGATTGCATTCCGACGACTCAATTCATTCCAAACATCCAACCATTTTCATGAGTAAGAGAACATGAGAATTAAGGTTTCACTATCATCTTCACTGTCGCCATTACGGTTTCATTATCTTCTGCCAAACTCTTTTCAATTCATTCCTCACAAATTTCTCTGACCCATTTTCATTGTTCATCGTCATCTCAGTTCATCTTCATCTCATTGCATCTTCATCTCAAGCCATTTCAGTTCGAAATTAGGGTTTTCATCATCACTCTGGTAAGTTTTCTCCAATCCAACTAGTTTTTCTCCGAAACACAGTTGACTAGCCTTCCATTAATTAGGATTTCAATTTCGTAATAAAAACCTACATAAATTTGAAAAATGTTATTTCTCTAAGTTTCGAACTTATTCTTGAAGATGTTTGTGTGATTTTATTTGTAAATTTCTCTGTCATTTGAATTTCTCTGGTATTTGCTTGATCTATGTGTTTTCTTTGAATTTTCTCTGGCATGTTTATTCCCCCATTTGTTTTTGGTTATTCCATATTTTTCTCTGGTTTTTTGTAAATTTCTCTAGCATTTTCATATTATGGAATTCATATTTTTTTTGGCTTGCCATGTTTAATTTTCTCTGTCATATATGTAATTTTCTCTGGTATGTTTATTTTGTTCCATTCTTAAATTTTCTATGGCCACATCACTTTTCTCTTTTGTGTGGTTCTGTCATGTTCCATTTTCTCTAGTTGTTTGTAAATTTCTCTGGCATTTTCATATTATGGAATACACACGTGTTTAGTTTTCTCTGGCTTACCATGTGTAATTTTCTCTGGTATGTTTATTTTGTTCCATTCTTGAATTTTCTCTGGCCACATCACTTTTCTCATTTGTGTGTGTCTGTTATGTTCAATTTTTTTTGGTTGTCTATAAATTTCTCTGGCATTTTCATATTATGGAATGAACATTTTCTCTAGTTTGCCTTGTTTAATTTTCTTTGGCATATATGTAATATTTTCTGGCTTACTATGTGTAATTTTCTCTGATATGTTTATTTTGTTCCACACTTGAATTTTCTATGGCCACGTCATTTTTCTCCTTTGTGTGTGTCTGTCATGTTCTATTTTCTTTGATTGTTTGTAAATTTTTCTGGGATTTTTATATTATGGAATGCATATTTTCTCTGGCTTGCCTTGTTAATTTTCTCTGGCATATATGCAATTTCTCCTGGCTTGCCATGTGTAATTTTCTCTGGTATATGTTTAGTTTGTTCCATTCTTGAATTTTCTCCGGCCACATCACTTTCTCCTTTGTGTGTGTTTGTCATGTTCCATTTTCTCTTGTTGTCTGTAAATTTCTCTGGGATTTAATGTTGACATCTTTATGTTTTCATTGTCTAAAAATGACGAAACGTAAAAGCAGCAAAACACCATAAACACCAAGTAAGAAACAGAAACTCTATAAATAAGATAATCTAATTTGAATATTTCTTAAAACTAACTATACCTATAATTTGTATGCAGTGTGGATTGTGGCCTCTTCGTTTGCTACAGAATGAGACAATATAGCAACCATGAACCTATCAGCTCAACATTGTCAAAACAAGACGTAAGGTTCACGAGGATAGAAAATCATAGAAAGATTTGCGACCGAAATTGGCCGGTCATGGACAGAACCAATTGAAATATCACCAACTAAAAGTATAATAGTGAAAGCATACTAGTGAAATGAAGACAATGTACACAATGTAATTAGAAATGACCCTTCAAATTTTTTTTTCCGTACATTGAAGAAATGATGTTTTTGACATATATGTATATATATTGTTTTAACTAATGTAAATTTCATAACTATCAATGGTTAAATATTTTTTTTTATAATGCATATGTAGTGGTGATTATCAGCACAATCCACACAAAGAAAATTGTCTAAAGAAATTTTTCTTGTATGAAGTTACCAGAATTTCACAAAAAAATTTAACTCGTATCGTGCCAAAAGGGTGCCTATATGATCATGTAATTTGTAATGCACTGTGTTAGTACGAAACAATCATCATATTCAAAAAACACAATGCACATTATAGTTTTCTCTACTATTGGTAAATTTCTCTGGATGAATTTGAGCACACAAAACACAATGCACTATTAGCAAATTTCTCTGGATGAATTTGACCTCACAAAACATAGTGCAGAAAGTAATTTTCTCTGCTAGTGGCAAATTTCTCTAGATGAATTTGCCACAATGCACATAGTAAATTTCTCTGGATGAATTTCACCTCACAAATTTCTCTAGATGAATTTGACCTTACAAAACATAGTGCACAAAGTAATTTTCTCTGTTACTGGCAAATTTCTCTGGATAAATTTGCCACAATGCACATAGTAAATTTCTCTGGATGAATTTCACCTCACAAATTTCTCTAGATGAATTTGACCTTACAAAACATAGTGCACAAAGTAATTTTCTATGCTACTGGCAAATTTCTCTGGATAAATTTGCCACAATGCACATAGTAAATTTCTCTGGATGAATTTCACCTCACAAATTTCTCTAGATGAATTTGACCTTACAAAACATAGTGCACAAAGTAATTTTCTATGCTACTGGCAAATTTCTCTGGATAAATTTGCCACAATGCACATAGTAAATTTCTCTGGATGAATTTCACCTCACAAATTTCTCTAGATAAATTTGACCTTACAAAACATAGTGCACAAAGTAATTTTCTATGCTACTGGCAAATTTCTCTGGATAAATTTGCCACAATGCACATAGTAAATTTCTCTGGATGAATTTCACCTCACAAATTTCTCTAGATAAATTTGACCTTACAAAACATAGTGCACAAAGTAATTTTCTATGCTACTGGCAAATTTCTCTGGATAAATTTGCCACAATGCACATAGTAAATTTCTCTGGATGAATTTCACCTCACAAATTTCTCTAGATAAATTTGACCTTACAAAACATAGTGCACAAAGTAATTTTCTATGCTACTGGCAAATTTCTCTGGATAAATTTGCCACAATGCACATAGTAAATTTCTCTGGATGAATTTCACCTCACAAATTTCTCTAGATAAATTTGACCTTACAAAACATAGTGCACAAAGTAATTTTCTATGCTACTGGCAAATTTCTCTGGATAAATTTGCCACAATGCACATAGTAAATTTCTCTGGATGAATTTCACCTCACAAATTTCTCTAGATAAATTTGACCTTACAAAACATAGTGCACAAAGTAATTTTCTATGCTACTGGCAAATTTCTCTGGATAAATTTGCCACAATGCACATAGTAAATTTCTCTGGATGAATTTCACCTCACAAATTTCTCTAGATAAATTTGACCTTACAAAACATAGTGCACAAAGTAATTTTCTATGCTACTGGCAAATTTCTCTGGATAAATTTGCCACAATGCACATAGTAAATTTCTCTGGATGAATTTCACCTCACAAATTTCTCTAGATAAATTTGACCTTACAAAACATAGTGCACAAAGTAATTTT